AAATAAATAAATGATTCGATGGCGCCAGAAAATGAGCTGCGGAAGTTAGCAAAACCAGCCTTACGCAACACTTCGGCGGGAGATAATTCCTAAGCAGGCATGACTAAATGTGACCTAGCTAGACGGTAATGTCGATGGGAGTTGTCTTAATGAGCTGGCAGATTAAAAAGAAAAAAAAGGATCCTCAGTGAGGACTTCACCGATAGTTTACTCAGAAATGATGCTGACGGCTGTGACAGGGATCTTTACGGTATTGATTTGTGATGCTGCAAATGAGAAGCATGGTCCATATTTCATTCTAAAGTGAGAAAGCATCCGTTCTGCACCCAGCTTCCTTAAACAATACTTACATCATGTCATGTGCCCTCCTTGAGACCCTCCAATGACTTCTAGCAGTATCGGACAAATCCACGCAACTTTTGGAAGCTAGCTCAAAGTCAGGAGGGAGAGGGCAGGCTCATATGCAGGAGCAGAAAAAAACAAATCAGATCCACACAGGGGGTGACGCTAATTTCACCGCCACCAATCCAGAGGCTGGATCTGAACCCTCTCTGGCTGAGGCAGCCACAGCTGGGTTGCAGAGCCCAATCCTGCTGTAGATGACGTTTGGCTTTACACTTGAGCTATGGAGGGGAACAGCCTTGTGCATGGAGAAAACCAGCTCCCTAGCTGGGTCGTCGTTTCCAGTGTGTGGCACCACTGGGGACAGGCAGCTTCTCGGAGTTATTTACCTGCTTTTTCCCCCTGTGCTGTGTTCTCCAGTGGCTTCCTGGCTTTGCAGCCATACCTGGGTTACTTACTACGGGTTGTTAGGGCTGCCAGGACAAAGTACAACAAGTCAGTTGGCTTAAAACAACAGAACACCATTGTCTCACAGTTCTGGAGGTTAGACGTCAAACTCAAGATGTCAGGAGGGCCGTGTTCCTCTGAAGGCTCCAGGGGGAGGGTCCTTTGCCTTTTCCTGGCTTCTAGTGGCTCTCGGCAGTCCTTGCCGTCCCTTGGCTTATGGCTGCGTCACTCCAATCTCTGCCTCTGTCTTCCCATGACCTCTGTGTGCCTGTGTGCGTGTGTTCTTCTTATGAGGACATAGTCACTGGAGTTAGAGCCCAGCCCAAGGCAGTAGGACCCTATCTTAATAACTATACCTGCACAGGCTTTATTTCCAAATTGGGTCACATTCTGAGGGTCCCGGTGGACAGGAATTTTGGGGAACACTATTCAACTCGCTACAGTGACCTCAGCCAACGTGAGCTTGTCCACAGGCCGGTGTTCCGGCTATGGTTGATGATTATTCCGGCCGAAGGTTAAGAAAAGGATTTGATTACACATTGTGCAATGAAACAATCATGAGCACAAAACTGAATCTACCTCCAGGGCTGAGTCGCCTGAATCAGGCCATAGGAAAGCGGGTCCCACGGAGGACCCCAAAACCACAGAGCGAAGAAGGAGAAAAGACTAACACAACTTCACACATACTTACGTCCTGTGCCTTTCTAACGCGTATCCCATTTATTTTAGGCCATAGTTTAAAATGGTTTTTATTAAAAATGAAAGCTTTAATCAGGCAGAATTGGAGCAAAAGACAAAATTGAGAAAACGAGAAGGAATGAGGAAGAAGGCAAGTACCAGCACATGTCTGGGATGGGGGGAGGGGAGGGCGTGGGCTGGAGGAATCCTGAGGAGACGAGCCCCTCCCCCTGCTAGTCCTCCTCCCAACCCCCACTGTCCCCACCTGCCACTGCTTCCTCTAATCCCATAATCCAGGCACCGTCGTTCTTATTAACATGCTCCTCTAATGAATTTAAGAGATTTAAAAAAATATATTTCTCTCCTCTTTCCTCAGTGACAGATAGATACTTCAGGAACAAATAAACAGATGTGCTTTTGAAAAATTCCATTTCCTACCCCCAAATGAATTTTAAATGGAAAAGAGTTAGGGGCATTAACTTTTCATTTTATATTTCATATGCGCTTAAATTTTTGTTACGTCAACAGGATGTGACGTCCCCATGAAGATTTACTACGACTTTTTAGAGAAGACAAAGGCCAGAGGCTCTTCTCTTTAGAATGTCCTCACGCGTGTGTCCTGTGCTCGAGGCCCCTGGGCTCGGGCACCACTGCTCGTACTGGCACATCCACTGGCACATCGAACGGAAGGCTTGAGAAAGTGGACAGTCTACTAAGACTGTAAAACTGTCTAAAGACTGTACAGCGTCAGCGTTCCAGACTTCAGCTTACTAAGGCGTAGGCCTTTCTTCTAACTTAAATTTCACTCTGATAAGCTTTTGGACATTTAAAAATGGTAAAATTGGCATTTATAACATTTTTTTAATGAAAAATTATGCAACATAAATAAAGGTGATCTACTTTAGAATAGTGATTGCTTAAATTCTGAACCTCAGCTTCCCACCCTGAAATGACATGAATGATTTAGAGTCCTGCTGGGCACAAAAATCATGGAATT